ATTTCCCCCCAATATTTTCCCAATTTTTTCCCCCTTCTCCCCCCAATTTTCCCCCATTTTTACCCCTAATTTTCCCCCAATTTTCCCCCCAATTTTCATCCCCATTTCCCCCCAATTTTTCCCATTTTCTCCCCAATTTTTCCCCTTCTCCCCCGATATTTTCCCCAATTTTCCCCCATTTTCCCTCAATTCTTCCCCAATATTTCCCCAATTTTCCCCCCATTTTATCCCAAATTTTCCCCATTTTTCCCTCAATTCTTCCCCAATATTTCCCCCATTTTCTCCCAATTTTCCCCATTTTTACCCCAATTTTTCCCTCTTCTCCCCACAATTTTTCCCCAATATTCCCCATTTCCCCCCCAATATTTCCCCATTTTCCCCAATATTTCCCCCATATTTTCCCCATTTTCCCCCTAATTTTCCCCAATTTTCCTCTTCTCCCCCAATTTCTCCTCAATTTTCCCCCATTTTCCCCCAATTTTTCCCCCATTTTTACCCCAATTTTTCCCCAATATTTCCCCCAATTTTTCTCCATTTTCCCCCAATTTTTCCCATTTTCTCCCCAATTTTTCCCCCTTCTCCCCCCGATATTTTCCCCATTTCCCCCAATTCTTCCCCAATATTTCCCCATTTTCCCCAATATTCCCCATTTTGCCCCAAATTTTTCCCATTTTCTCCCCAATTTTCCCCATTTTCTCCCAAATTTTCCCCATTTTTTCCCATTTTCTCCCCACATTTTTCCCTAATATTTCCCCCATTTTTTTTCCATTTTCTCCCCAAATTTCCCCCCAAATTTCCCCAAATTTCCCCCATTTTTTCCCCAATTTTTTTTCCATTTTCTCCCCCCAATTTCCCCATTTTCTCCCCAATATTTCCCCAATATTTCCCCATTTTCCCCCAAATTTTTTCCATTTCTCCCCAATTTTCCCCCCAATTTTCCCCCCAATTTTTCCCCATTTTCTCCCCAATTTTTCCCCTTCTTCCCTCAATTCTCTCCCCAATTTTTCCCCATTTTCTCCCCAAATTTCCCCCAATTTTTCTCCCCAATTTTCCCCCCATTTCTCCCCAAATTTTTCCCAAATTTTCCCCGATTTTTCCCCAATATTTCCCCAATTTTCCCCCGATATTCCCCCCAATATTTTCCCCAATATTGCCCCAAATTTTTCCCCAATTTTCTCCATTTTCTCCCCAAATTTCCCCAATTTTCCCCCAAATTTTCCCCCTTCTCCCCCCAATTTTCCCCCAATTTCCCCCCATTTTCCCCCAATTTTCCCCCAATCTTCCCCCATTTTCCCCAATATTTCCCCAATATTTTCCCCATTTTCTCCCCAATTTCTCCCCAATTTTTCCCCCAATTTCCCCCCAAATTTCCCCATTTCCCCCCCAATTTCCCCCCAATATTTTCCCCATTTTCTCCCCAAATTCCCCCCAATTTTCCCCCAATTTTTCCCCCAAATTTCCCCATTTTCTCCCCAATTTTCCCCCAATTCTTCCCCAATATTTCCCTAATTTTCCCCCCATTTTTCCCCCCAAATTTCCCCAAATTTCCCCCATTTTTTCCATTTTCTCCCCCAATTTTCCCCCCAAATTTCCCCAATTTTCCCCCCAATTTTTCCCATTTTCTCCCCAAATTTCCCCCAATTTTCCCCCATTTTCTCCCCAAATTTTTCCCAAATTTTCCCCAATTTTCTCCCCAATATTTCCCCCATTTTCTCCCCAATTTTTCCCCCTTCTCCCCCCGATATTTTCCCCATATTTTCCCCAATTTTCCCCCAATATTTCCCCAATATTTTCCCCATTTTCTCTCCCATTTTCTCCCCAAATTTCCCCCAATTTTTCCCTCTTCTCCCCACAATTTTTCCCCAATATTTCCCCCAATTTTTCTCCATTTTTCCCCCAATTTCCCCCATTTTCTCCCCAATATTTCCCCCAATCTTTCTCCATTTTTCCCCCAAATTTTTTCCATTTTCTCCCCAATTTTCCCCCAAATTTTTCCCCATTTTCTCCCCAATTTTTCCCCATTTTTCCCCCAATTCTTCCCCAATATTTCCCTAATTTTCCCCCCCTATTTTCCCCAAATTTTTCCCATTTTCTCCCCGATTTTTTCCCCATTTTTCCCTCAATTCTTCCCCAATATTTTCCCAATTTCCCCAATTTTCCCCAATTTTTTCCCCCAATTTTCCCCCAATTTCCCCCCATTTTCCCCCCAATTTTCCCCCAATCTTCCCCCATTTTTCCCCATTTTTCCCCAATATTTTCCCCATTTTCCCCCCAATTTCCCCCCAGTTTTCCCCCAAATTTCCCCCAATTTTCCCCCATTTCCCCCCAATTTCCCCCCAATATTTTCCCCATTTTCTCCCCAAATTCCCCCCAATTTTCCCCCAATTTTTCCCCCAATTTTTCTCCATTTTCCCCCCAATTTTTTCCCATTTTCTCCCCAATATTTCCCCCTAATTTCCCCCAATTTTCCCCCAATTTTTCTCCATTTTTCCCCCAAATTTTCCCCATTTTTTCCCATTTTCCCCCCAAATTTTCCCCATTTTTTCCCATTTTCTCCCCAAATTTCCCCCAATTTTTCCCCATTTTTCCCCCAATTTTCCCCCAATTCTTCCCCAATATTTTCCTAATTTTCCCCCCAATTTTCCCCAAATTTTTCCCCAATTTTCTCCCCGATTTTTCCCCCAATTCTTCCCCAATATTTCCCCCATTTTCTCCCCAATTTTCCCCCATTTTTACCCCAAATTTTCCCCATTTTCTCCCCCCAATTTTCCCCCATTTTTTCCCCAAATTTTCCCCATTTTCTCCCCCCAATTTTACCCCATTTTTTCCCCAATTTTTTCCCATTTTCTCCCCAATTTCCCCCAAATTTTCCCCATTTCCCCCAATTTTCCCCCATTTTCTCCCCATTTTTACCCCAAATTTTCCCCCATTTTTTCCCCAAAATTTCCCCATTTTTTCCCATTTTCTCCCCAAATTTTCCCCCAAATTTTCCCCATTTTCCCCCAAATTTTCCCCAATATTTCCCCAATTTTCCCCCAATTTTTCCCCATTTTCCCCCCAATTTTCCCCCATTTTCTCCCCAATTTTGCCCCAATTCTTCCCCAATATTTCCCTAATTTTCCCCCCATTATTTCCCCCAATTTTTCTCCATTTTTTCCCCAAATTTTCCCCCTTCTCCCGCCAAATTTCCCCTGATTTTTCCCCATTTTTCCCTCAATTCTTCCCCAATATTTCCCCAATTTTTTCCCTTTTTCCCCCCATTTTTCCCCATTTTCTCCCCAATTTTTCCCCCGATTTTCCCCCAATTTTCCCCAATATTTTCCCCCATTTTCTCCCCAATTTCCCCCAATATTTCCCCCATTTTTCCCCCAATTTTCCCCCAAATTTTCCCCATTTTTTCCCATTTTCTCCCCAAATTTTTCCCTAATATTTTCCCCATTTTTTCCCATTTTCCCCCCAAATTCCCCCCCAATTTCCCCAACCCCCGTTCCCCTCCCCCTCTCCCCTCCCCCCCCCAGCCCCTCCCGTCCATCACTCCCGAAATATCCCCGGGGTGGGGGAGGGGTGAAAGCGACACCCGGGGGTGGGGGAGGGGACAATGGGGGGGGGGGGGTCCCCCCCTTTTTAACCCCCGCGCTCCTCCCCCCCTCCCCCAAACGCCTCCAGCGGCGCCGCCGGAATTGGGGGGGGGGAGGATGAAAAATTCACATTTGGGGGCGCCTGGGGGCCTTGGAATTTGAGGTTTTCCCCCTTTTAATTTATATTTTTTTCCCCTTTTAATTCGATTTTTTTCCCCTTTAAATTCGATTTTTTCCCCCTTTTAATTTTGATTTTTTGCCCCTTTTAATTTATATTTTTTTCCCCTTTTAATTTGATTTTTTCCCCTTTTAATTTTGATTTTTTTCCCCATTTAATTCGATTTTTTTCCCCTTTTAATTTGATTTTTTCCCCTTTTAATTCGATTTTTTTTCCCCCTTTTAATTCGATTTTTTCCCCCCTTTTCATTTATATTTTTTCCCCTTTTAATTTGATTTTTTCCCCTTTTAATTTCGATTTTTTCCCCTATAATTCGATTTTTTTCCCCTTTAAATTTGATTTTTCCCCCTTTTAATTTTGATTTTTTCCCCCCTTTTAATTCGATTTTTTCCCCTTTAAATTTCATTTTTTCCCTCTTTAAAATTCGATTTTTCCCCCTTTTAATTTGAATTTTCCCCCCTTTTAATTTTTATTTTTCCCCCTTTTAATTTAATTTTTTTCCCCATTAAATTCGATTTTTTCCCCCTTTTAATTTTGATTTTTTCCCCCTTTTAATTTAATTTTTTTCCCCTTTAAATTTCATTTTTCCCCCTTTAAATTCGATTTTTCCCCCTTTTAATTTGAATTTTTTCCCCCTTTAAATTTCATTTTTTCCCCTTTAAATTTAATTTCCCCCCCCCTTTTAATTCGATTTTTTTTCCCTTTTAATTCGATTTTTTCCCCTTTTAATTCGATTTTTTTCCCCTTTTAATTTAATTTTCCCCTTTAAATTTAATTTCCCCCTTTAAATTTAATTTTCCCCCTTTAATTTGATTTTTCCTTCTTTTTCAAGGACGTTTCCTCTCATTCAAATCCATTAATTCGAGACCTAATTTTCCCTTCCCCTTTCTCAAAATTCTCTTTTATTTTATCCCTTTAATTTCAATTTTTTCTTTTATTTGAATTTTTTCTCCTTTAGGTTTTTCCCCTTTTTTCCCCATTTTTTTCCCCTTTTATTCCCATTTTTTCCCCCTTTTATTCCCATTTTATTCCCATTTTTTCCCCCTTTTATTCCCATTTTTTTCCCCCTTTTATTCCCATTTTTTCCCCATTTTATCCCCATTTTTTCCCCATTTTTTCCCATTTTTTCCCCATTTTTCCACCTTTTTTCTCCCTTTTTTTTTTCTTTTTCCCCTCCATTTTTGATCCTCCTCCCCCCCCGAGGATTTTTTGCCCCAAATTCGGGGATTTTGGGCAAATTCCAGATGGAAAACGCCCACAGCCAAAACGGCCGAGGAATGTTTGGCCTTTTTTGGGGTGACCGAGAGCGTCGGGCTCAGCCCCGAGCAGGTCAAGAGGAGCCTGGAGAAATACGGACCCAATGGTGAGGAAATTTCAAATTTGGGACAATTTGGGGCATTTTGGGGAAAATTTGGGAAAATTTGGGAAAATTCGGGAAAATTTGGGGGAGTTTGGGAAAAAAAATTGAATTTTTAGGGATTTTTTTAGGGATTTTTGGGGGATTTCTTGGGGTTTTTTGGAGGAGATTTTTGGGGTTTTAGGGAATTTTTGAGAGGTTTAGGGATTTGGATTTTTTTGGAATTTTTGGGGATTTTTTGGGATTTTTTTGGGATTTTTTGGGATTTTTTGGCATATTTAGGGATTTTTTCTGATTTTTTGGGGATTTTTTGGAGATATTTGGGTGTTTTTAGGGAATTTTAAAGAGGTTTGGGATTTGGGATTTTTAGGGATTTTTAGGGATTTTTTGGGGATTTTTTGGCATTTTTAGGGATTTTTTTCAGATTTTTTTGGGATTTTTTGGGATTTTTTCCCAGATTTTTGGAGATATTTGGGTGTTTTTAGGGAATTTTTGAGAGGTTTTGGGCTTTGGGATTTTTGGAGATTTTTGGGGATTTTTTGGGATTTTTTTCAGGATTTTTTGGGGATTTTTTTCTGATTTTTTAGGGATTTTTTAGGGATTTTTTTTTCATTTTTGGGGGATTTTTTAGGGATTTTTTTGGGTGTTTGGAGGAGATTTTGAGGTTTTTAGGGAATTTTTTAAGAGGTTTTGGGATTTGGGGTTTTTGGGATTTTTTGGGGATATTTTTGGGATTTTTTGGCATTTTTAGGGATTTTTTTCCGATTTTTTGGGGATTTGGAGGGATTTTTTCCTGATTTTTGGGGGTTTTTTTTGGGATATTTTGCAGTGATTTGGGGAATTTTAGAGAGGTTTTGGGATTGGGGATTTTTAGGGATTTTTAGGGATTTTTGGGGAATTTTTTGGAATTTTTTCTGATTTTTTGGGGATTTTTTCTCATTTTTTTTCCGAATTTTTAGGGATTTTTTTTAATTTTTTGGGCAATTTTGGGGTGATTTCAGAGATTTTAGAGAGGTTCTGGGATTTGGGATTTTTGGGGATTTTTTGGGAATTTTTTCCAATTTTTTGAGGCATTTCTGGGGATTTTGGGGGAATTTTTGGGGTTTTTGGGGTGACCGAGAGCGTCGGGCTCAGCCCCGAGCAGGTCAAGAGGAGCCTGGAGAAATACGGACCCAATGGTGAGGAAATTTCAAATTTTGGGACAATTTGGGGAAATTTGGGGAAATTTGGGAAAATTTGGGGTGATTTGGGCAATTTTGGGGCATTTAGGGGAAAAAAAATTGAATTTTTTGGGATTTTTTGGGGTTTTTTAGGGATTTTTTTTGAATTTTTGGGGATTTTTTTAGGGATTTCTTGGGGTTTTTTGGAAGGGATTTTGAGGTTTTTAGGGAATTTTTGAGAGGTTTTGGGATTTGGGATTTTGGGGAATTTTTGGGGATTTTTGGGGATTTTTTGGGGATTTTTTCTGATTTTTTTGGGATTTTTTAGGGATTTTTTTGGGATTTTTTGGCATTTTTTCCATATTTTTGGAGATATTTTGGGCGGTTTTAGGGAATTTTTGAGAGGTTTTGGGCTTTGGGATTTTTGGGGATTTTTAGGGATTTTTTGGGATTTTTTTCAGGATTTTTTGGGGATTTTTCTGATTTTTTTCCGATTTTTTAGGGATTTTTTTGCAATTTTTAAAAAATTTTTTGGGCAATTTTGGGGTGACTTGGGAGATTTTAGAGAGGTTTTGGGATTTGGGATTTTTGGGGATTTTTTGGGAATTTTTTCCGATTTTTTTGAGGCATTTCTGGGGATTTTGGGGGAATTTTTGGGGTTTTTGGGGTGACCGAGAGCGTCGGGCTCAGCCCCGAGCAGGTCAAGAGGAGCCTGGAGAAATACGGACCCAATGGTGAGGAAATGGGAAAATTCCAGGAAATTTGGGAAAATTCGGGAAAATTTGGGAAAATTTGGGGAAAATTTGGGGAAATTTGGGAAAATTTGGGCTGATTTGGGCCAATTTTGGGGCATTTAGGGGAAAAAAAAATTGAATTTTTAGGGATTTTTTTGGGATTTTTTAGAATTTTTGGGGATTTTTTTGGGTTTTTGGAGGAGATTTTGAGGTTTTTAGGGAGTTTTTGAGGGGTTTTGGGATTTGGGATTTTTGGGGAATTTTTGGGAATTTTTTGGAATTTTTTCTGATTTTTGGGGATTTTTTTAGCATTTTTAGGGATTTTTTAGGGATTTTTTTTGAATTTTTGGGGGATTTTTTAGGGATTTTTTGGGGTTTTTGGAGGAGATTTTGGGGTTTTTAGGGAGTTTTTGAGGGGTTTTGGGATTTGGGATTTTTAGGAATTTTTTCAGATTTTTTCTGATTTTTTTGAGGTTTTTTTGGGATTTTTTAGCATTTTTTGGGAATTTTTTTCCAGATTTTTTGGAGATATTTTTGGGCGGTTTTAGGGAATTTTTGACAGGTTTCGGGATTTGGGATTTTTAGGGATTTTTTAGGGATTTTTAGGGAATTTTTTGGGGATTTTTTGGGATTTTTTAGCATTTTTAGGGATTTTTTCCGATTTTTTAGGGATTTTTTGGCGATTTTTAAAAATTTTTTGGGCAATTTTGGGGTGATTTCCGAGATTTTAGAGAGGATTCGGGATTTGGGATTTTGGGGAATTTTTGGGGAATTTTTCGGATTTTTTTGGGATTTTTTGGGGATTTTTTTGGGGATTTTTGGGGATTTTTTAGCATTTTTTGGGATTTTTTTCCAGATTTTGGAGATATTTTGGGTGTTTTTAGGGAATTTTAAAGAGGTTTGGGATTTGGGATTTTTGGGGATTTTTAGGGATTTTTTGGGAATTTTGGGGGATTTTTGGGGATTTTTTAGCATTTTTAGGGATTTTTTTCTGATTTTTTAGGATTTTTTGGGGGATTTTTTAGGGATTTCTTGGGGTTTTTGGAGGGGATTTTGAGGGTTTTTAGGGAATTTTTGAGAGGTTTTGGGATTTGGGATTTTTGGGGATTTTTTGGGGATTTTTGGGGGTTTGGGGGGGAATTTTAGGGGGATTTTTAGGGGGATTTTTAGGAGGATTTTGGGGGATTTTAAGGGGGATTTTGGGGGGATTTTTTGGGGATTTTTGGGGGATTTTTTTAGGATTTTTAGGGGGATTTTTAGGGGGATTTTTTGGGGGGGTTTAGGGGGATTTTTAGGGGGATTTTGGGGGATTTTTGGGGAGATTTTGGGAAATTTTTTTAGGATTTTTAGTGGGATTTTGGGGGATTTTGGGGGGGATTTTGGGGGATTTTGGGGTCCCCTCTAACGTGTCCCTTTCTCCCCCCAGAGCTGCCAGCAGAGGAAGGTGAGTGACAACCCCAAAATGCCCCAAAAATGACCGAAATTTTCCCCAAAAATGTCCAAAAACGATCCCAAAGTCTCCAAAACATCCCAAAAATGACCCAAAATACCCCAAAAAAAAGCCCAGAATTGTCCCCAAAAATTGTTCCCAAATGGTCCCCAAAAAGTCCAAAAAATGTCCCAAAATGTAAAAAAAAGGGTAAAGAAATTCCCCCAAATGTCCCTAAAAATGGCCCCAAAATGCCCTAAAAATACCCCAAAAAAGGCCCCTCAAAAAAGCCCCAAAAAAGCCCCGAAATTTCCCAAAGATGACCCAAAATTTCCAAAAAAAAAGTCCCAGAAATTCCCAAAAAGTCTCCAAAAAAGCCCCCAAAAGTCCCCAAAAAACCCCAAATTTCCCCCCAAAATGCCAAAAAAGAAAATCCCTAAAAACTCCCAAAAATGCCCCAAAAAAATCCTCAAATTTACCCCAAAATCCTCAAAAAAAAGCCCCAAAAATTCGATTTAAAACCCTCCAAAAATGCCCTAAAACGCTCCAAAAATCCCAAAAAAAATTGATAAAAAATCCCAAATTTTCCCCAAAATTCCCAAATTTTCCCCAAAATTCCCAAATTTCCCCGAATTCCTGAATTCCCCCCAAAATCCCCCCCAAAAGCCCCAAAATTTCAATTTAAAACGCTCCAAAAACACCCTAAAACGCTCCAAAAATCCCCAAAAAATCCATTAAAAATCCCAAATTTCCCCCAAAATTCCAAAAAAATCCCCCCAAAAATTCCATTAAAAATCCCAAATTTCCCCGAATTTCTGAATTTCCCCCCAAAATCCTCCCCAAAAGCCCAAAAATTCAATTTAAAACCCTCCAAAAATCCCCCCCAAAAAATCCATTAAAAATCCCAAATTTTCCCCAAAATTCCCCAAAATTCCCCCCAAAAAATCCATTAAAATTCCAAAATTCCCCCCAAAAATCCCAAATTTTCCCAAAATTCCCCAATTTTGCCCCAAAAATTCAATTTAAAACCCTCCAAAAATGCCCTAAAATGCTCCAAAAATCCCCCAAAAACTCCATTAAAAATCCCAAATTTTCCCCAAAAATCCCCCAAAAAATCCCTAAAAAATCCCAAATTTTCCCAAAATCCCCCAATTTGGCCCAAAATTCCCATTTTTCCCAGGTAAATCCATCTGGGAGTTGGTGGTGGAGCAGTTCGAGGATCTCCTGGTGCGGATTCTGCTCCTGGCCGCCTGCATCTCCTTCGTGAGTCCCAAAATGGGCAAAAAAATCCCAAAAATGGGCAAAAATGGGCAAAAAAATCCCAAAAATGCCCTAAAAATGTCATGGGGGGTGGGGATTTTGGGGGGAAAAAATCGGGAAATTTGGGGGGAAAAAATTGGAATTTTTGGGGGGAAAAATTTGAATTTTTGGGGGGAAAAATTTGAATTTTAGGGGGGAAAAATTTGAATTTTTGGGCGGAAAATTTTGAATTTTTTTGATTTTTTTAGGGATTTTTTTGTGATTTTTTTGGATTTATTTTTAATTTTTGGGGGGGAATTTTTGGGGAAATTTTGGGGGATTTTTTGGGAAATTTTTGGGATTTTTTGTGAAATTTCTGAGATTTTATCGGGGTTTTTTTTGCATTTTGGGGGTATTTTTTGGGATTTTTTTTGAGAAATTTTGGGGGGATTTTACGGGGATTTTGGGGGGATTTTTTTAGCGATTTTTTCCACATTTTTTCCCAATTTTTGGTGATTTTTTGCAATTTCTTTGTGGCTTTTTGGGGGGATTTTTCCCCAATTTTTTCCCCATTTTTCCCCAATTTTTCCCCATTTGTTCCCAATTTTTCCCCCATTTTTTCGTGATTTTTTCCCAATTTTTCCCCAATTTTTCCCCCAATTTTTTTCCGATTTTTTTCCGATTTTTTCCCCAATTTTTTCCCAAATTTTTTTTCGATTTTTCCCCAATTTTTTTCTGGTTTTTTTTTTGGCGATTTTTCCCCAATTTTTTCCCAATTTTTTTTCATTTTTCCCCCATTTTTTCGTGATTTTTTTCCCCATTTTTTCCCAATTTTTCCCCCATGTTTTTGTGATTTTTTTCCCCAATTTTTCCCCAATTTTCCCCAAATCTTTCCCCAAATTTTTCCCAATTTTTCCCCCGATTTTTTTCCGATTTTTTGGTGATTTTTTCCGATTTTTCCCCAGTTTTTTTCCGATTTTTTGGCGATTTTTTCCCCAATTTTTTCCCAATTTTTTTTCGATTTTTCCCCAATTTTTTTCCGATTTTTTGGCGATTTTTTCCCCAATTTTTTCCCATTTTTTCGTGATTTTTCCCCAATTTTTCCAATTTTTCGTGATTTTTTTTCCAATTTTTCCCCATTTTTCCCCATTTTTCCCCAATTTTTCCCCAAATTTTTCCCAATTTTTCCCCAATTTTCCCCCAATTTTTTTCGTGATTTTTCCCCAATTTTCCCCCAATTTTCTCCCAATTTTCCCCCAATTTTTCCCCAATTTTTTCCAATTTTTTGGCAATTTTTTCCCAATTTTTTCGCGATTTTTCCCCAATTTTTTTCCGATTTTTTTTGGCGATTTTTCCCCAATTTTTCCCCAATTTTTTCCGCAATTTTTCCCCATTTTTTCCCCAATTTTTCCCCCATTTTTCCCCATTTTTTCGTGATTTTTTCCCAATTTTCCCCCAATTTTTTCGTGATTTTTCCCCGATTTTTCCCAATTTTTCCCCAAATCTTTCCCCAAATTTTTCCCAATTTTTCCCCAATTTTTTCGTGATTTTTTCCCAATTTTCCCCCAATTTTTCCCCCAATTTTTCCCAATTTTTTCCCAATTTTTCCCCAAATTTTTCCCAATTTTTCGTGATTTTTTTTCCAATTTTTCCCCAATTTTTTCCCAATTTTCCCCCATTTTTTCCCCAATTTTTTCCCCAATTTCCCCCCAATTTTTCCCGGGATTTTGGGGGTGGGATTTTGGGACCTGGCCCCTTTGGTGTCCCCAGCGCTGTCCCCGTCGCTGTCCCCAAGGTGCTGGCCTGGTTCGAGGAGGGCGAGGAAACCATCACGGCCTTCGTCGAGCCCTTCGTCATCCTCCTCATCCTCATCGCCAACGCCGTCGTCGGCGTCTGGCAGGTGGGGACGGCTGGGGACAATTGGGGACATTTGGGGACATTTGGGGACATTTTGGGGACATTTGGGAGGGATTTCGGGACATTTTGGGGACATTTGGGGAGGATTTGTGGGGGTTTGGGGGGGATTTGGGGACATTTGGGGGGATTTGGGGACGTTTTGGGGACATTTTAGGGACAATTGGGGACATTTGGGGAGGATTGGGGACATTTTGGGGGCATTTGGGGGCATTTGGGGAGGGTTTGGGGATGTTTGGGGGGCATTTGGTGGGGTTTGGGGACAATCTGGGGACATTTGGGGGGGATTTGGGGACATTTTGGGACATTTGGGGACATTTGGGGTGGATTTGGGGGGGATTTGGGGACATTTTGAGGGGGATTTGGGGACATTTGAGGGGGGTTTGGGGGAGATTTGGGGACATTTTGGGACATTTTGGGGGGAATTTGGGGACATTTTGGACATTTTGGGACATTTGAGGGGATTTGGGGGGATTTGGTGGGGTTTGGGGACAATTGGGGACATTTTGGGGACATTTGGGGGGGATTTGGAGGGGGTTTGGGGACATTGGGGGACGTTTGGGGACATTTGGGGGGAATTTGGGACATTTGGGGGGGATTTGGGGACATTTTGGGGACATTTGGGGGATTTGGGGGATTTGGTAGGGGTTTGGGGACAATTTGGGACATTTGGGGACATGTGAGGGACAATTGGGGACATTTTGGGGACATTTGGGGGGGATTTGGAGGGGGTTTGGGGACATTTGGGGACATTTTGGGGACATTTGAAGGGATTTGGGGACATTTGGGGACATTTGGGGTGGATTTGGGGGGAATTTGGGGACATTTGGGGAGGTTTTGGGGGGGATTTGGGGATGTTTGGGGGGATTTAGGGACATTTTGGGGACATTTTTGGGACGTTTGGGGCATTTGAGGGATTTGGGGAGATTTGGTGGGGGTTTGGGACAATTGGGGACATTTGGGGGGATTTGGGGATGTTTGGGGGGATTTGGGAGGGATTTCGGGACATTTTGGGGACATTTTGGGGACGTTTGGGGCGGATTTGGGGAAATTTTGGGGTTGGGGACATTTCGAATTTGGGACATTTGGGGGGGATTTGGGGACATTTTGGGGGAATTTGGGGACATTTGGGGGAGATTTAGGGACATTTTGGGCTTGGGGACATTTCGAATTTGGGGACATTTGGGGAGATTTGGGGACATTTTGGGGAGGATTTGGGGACATTTGAGGGGGGGTTTGGGGGAGATTTGGGGACATTTTGGGGGGATTTTGTGGGGGTTTGGGGACATTTGGGGGTGATTTGGGGACATTTTGGGGACATTTGGGGGATTTGGGGACATTTGGGGGCATTTTGGGGACATTTGGAGGGGATTTAGGAACATTTGGGGTTGGGGACATTTTGGGGGTGGTTTGGTGTCCTTTGAGGTCTCTCTGATGTCCCCAACCTGTCCCCAACGTCCCTGTGATGTCCCCAACATCTCTGTGGTGACCCAAACCTGTCCCCAAATGTCCCCAAATGTCCCCAAATGTCCCTTCAGGAGCAGAACGCCATCGAGGCCCTCAAGGAGTGTCCCCAATGTCCAGTCCCCAATGTGTCCCCAATGACCCAAACCTGTCCCCAAATGTCCCCAAATGTCCCCAATGTCCCTTTTAGGAGCGGAATGCCGAGAACGCCATCGAGGCCCTCAAGGAGTGTCCCTGTGTGCTGTCCCCAATGTGTCCCCAGTGTGTCCCCAATGACCCAAACCTGTCCCCAAATGTCCCCAATGACCCAAACCTGTCCCCAATGTCCCCAATGTCCCCAACTGTCCCCAACTGTCCCCAATGTCCCCAATGTCCCCTCAGGAGCGGAACGCCGAGAACGCCATCGAGGCGCTCAAGGAGTGTCCCTGTGTGCTGTCCCCAACCTGTCCCAAACATCCCTGTGATGTCCCCAATGTCTCTGTGATGACCCAAACCTGTCCCCAACGTGTCCCCAACTGTCCCCAATGTCCCCTCAGGAGCGGAACGCCGAGAACGCCATCGAGGCCCTCAAGGAATACGAGCCCGAGATGGGCAAAGTCTACAGGAGCGACCGCAAGGCCGTGCAGAGGATCAAGGCCAGGGACCTGGTGCCAGGGGACATCGCCGAGGTGGCAGGTGGGGACTTGGGGACACTGGGGTCAGTCAGGGGTCACAGGGACATTGGGGACATTGGGGTCACACAGGGACATTGGGGACATTGGGACATTGGGGGCACAGCAGTGACCCCAAGGCCGTGCAGAGGATCAAGGCCAGGGACCTGGTGCCAGGGGACATCTCCGAGGTGGCAGGTGGGGACTTGGGGACACTGGGGACGGTCAGGGGACACTGGGGACACTGGGGACATTGAGGGGGTCAGGGACATTCAGGGATTAAAGGCACATTGGGGACATTGGGGACATTGGGGACAGTGGGGACATTGGGGACATTCAGGGGTTAAAGGAACATTGGGGACAGTGGGGACAGTCAAGGGTCACAGGGACATTGGGGACATTGGGGTGACAGGGACACTGGAGACATTGGGGACATTTGGGACACTGGAGACATTGGGGGACATTGGGGGTGACAGGGACATTCAGGGGTTAAAGGGGCATTGGGGACATTGGGGACACCCAGGGGTTAAAGAGGTCACAAGGACATTGGGGTCATTGGGGACAATGGGGACACTGGGGACATTGGGGACATTGGGGACACTGGGGACATTCAGGGGTTAAAGAAGTCAGAGGGACATTGGGGACATTGGGGTCATTCAGGGACATTGGGGACAGTGGGGACACTGTGGTCACCCAAGGCTTAAAGGGACATTGGGGACAATGGGGACATTGGGGACAGTGGGGGTGACAGGGACATTGAGGTCAGTCAGGGGTTAAAGGGACATTGGGGTCATTGGGGGACAATGGGGACAGTGGGGACATTGGGGGGATTTGAGACAGGGACATTGGGGACATTGGGGGAAATGGGGACACCCAGGGGTCAAAGGGACATTGGGGACATTGAGGACAGTCAGGGGTCACAGGGACATTGGGACACCCAGGGGTTAAAGGGACACTGGGGACATGGGGACAGTCAGGGGACAATGGGGACATTGGGGTCATTGGGGACATTGGGGACATTCAGGGGTTAAAGATGTCAGAGGGACATTGGGGACATTGGGGTCATTCAGGGACATTGGGGACAGTGGGGACACTGTGGTCACCCAAGGCTTAAAGGGACATTGGGGACAATGGGGACATTGGGGACATTGGGGACAGTGGAGACAGTCGAGGGTCACAGGGACACTGGGGACATTGGGGTCATTGAGGGTGACAGGGACATTCAGGGGTTAAAGGGGCATTGGGGACATTGGGGACATGGGGTCAGTCAGGGGTCACAGGGACATTGGGGGGCATTGGGGGGCATTGGGGACATTCAGGGGTTAAAGGGACATTGGGGACATTGGGGACACTGGGGGTGACAGGGACATTGAGGTCAGTCAGGGGTTAAAGGGACATTGGGGACATTGGGGACATTGGGGACCTTGGGGACATTCAGGGGTTAAAGGCACATAGGGGACACTGGGGACAGTGGGGACATTGGGGGATTGGAGACACTCAGGGACATTGGGGACATTGGGGAAAATGGGGACACCCAGGGGTTAAAGGGACATTGGTGACATTGGTGGACATTGGGGACACTGGGGTCAGTCAGGGGTCACAGGGACATTTGGGACATTGAGGGGGTCAGGGACATTCAGGGGTTAAAGGCACATTGGGGACAATGGGGACATTGGGGACATTGGGGACATTGGGGGGACCAGGAGCCCTCAGCTCCCAGTAACCCCAGTTTGTCCCAATCCCCTCCCAGTCCCTCCCAGTCCCTCCCAGTTTATCCCAGTTCCATCCCAGTTTGTCCCAGTCCCTCCCAGTTTGTCCCAGTTTGTCCCAGTTTATCCCAGTCCCTCCCAGTTTATCCCAGTCCATCCCAGTTCCCTCCCAGTCCCTCCCAGTTTGTCCCAGTCCCTCCCAGTCCCTCCCAGTCCCTCCCAGTTTATCCCAGTCCCTCCCAGTCCCTCCCAGTCCATCCCAGTCCCTCCCAGTTTGTTCCAGTTTGTCCCAATCCCCTCCCAGTCCATCCCAGTCCCTCCCAGTCCATCCAGTCCCTCCCAGTTTATCCCAGTTTATCCCAGTTCCATCCCAGTTTGTCCCAGTCCATCCCAGTCCCTCCCAGTTTATCCCAGTTTATCCCAGTTCCATCCCAGTTTATCCCAGTCCCTCCCAGTCCCTCCCAGTTTATCCCAGTCCCTCCCAGTCCCTCCCAGTTCACCCCAGTCCCTCCCAGTCCCTCCCAGTTTGTCCCAATCCATCCCAGTCCCTCCCAGTCCCTCCCAGTTTGTCCCAGTCCATCCCAGTCCCTCCCAGTCCATCCCAGTCCCTCCCAGTCCCTCCCAGTCCATCCCAGTTTGTCCCAGTCCCTCCCAGTCCATCCCAGTTTGTCCCAGTCCATCCAGTTTGTCCCAGTCCCTCCCAGTTTGTCCCAGTCCATCCCAGTCCATCCCAGTCCCTCCCAGTTTGTCCCAGTCCCTCCCAGTTTGTCCCAGTTTATCCCAGTCCCTCCCAGTCCCTCCCAGTCCCTCCCAGTTTGTCCCAATCCCCTCCCAGTCCCTCCCAGTCCATCCCAGTCCATCCCAGTCCCTCCCAGTTTGTCCCAGTCCCTCCCAGTAAAGCCCCGCTCTGTTCCCAGTTGGGGACAAGGTCCCGGCCGACATCCGGATCATCTCCATCAAATCCACCACGCTGCGCGTCGACCAGTCCATCCTTACTGGTTTGTACTGGTTTGTACTGGTTTGGGGCCGGGAGGGGGCTGGGAGGGACTGGGACAAACTGGGAGGGACTGGGATGGACTGGGATGAACTGGGAGGGACTGGGATGGACTGGGATGAACTGGGAGGGGATTCAAGGGTTAAAAACGGGTGGAAATTGAGATTTTTTTGTACTGGTTTGTACTGGTTTGTACTGGTTTGGGGCCTGGCGGGGACTGGGAGGGAACTGGGATGAACTGGGATGAACTGGGAGGGACTGGGAGGGACTGGGAGGGGATTAAAGGGTTAAAAATGGCGGGAAATTGGGGTTTTGTTTATACTGGTTTATACTGGTCCATACTGGTTTAAACCAATCCATACTGGTTCCAATCCATACTGGTTTATACTGGTCCATAGTGGTTCAGACCAGTCCAAACTGGTTTATACTGGTCCATACTGGGATCTCAGTGGGGGTGGTCGCTGTGTCCCAGAATGGTCCATACTGGTCTGTACTGGTCTGTACTGGTTTATAGCAATTTATACTGGTTTTATACTGGTTTGTACCAGTCCAAACTGGTTTATACTGGTCCATACTGGGATCTCAGTGGGGGTGGTCGCTGTGTCCCAGAATGGTCCATACTGGTCTGTACTGGTCTGTACTGGTTTATAGCAATTTATACTGGTTTATACTGGTTTGTACCAGTCCAAACTGGTTTATACTGGTCCATACTGGGATCTCAGTGGGGTTGGTCGCTGTGTCCCACATCGGTTCGCACCGGTCTGTACTGGTTTATACTGGTTTGTACCGGTTTTTACCTGTCCGTACTGGTCCGTACTGGTTTAAACCGATCCAAACCGGTCCGTACTGGTCCGTACTGGTTTATACTGGTCCCAAACTGGTCCCAAACTGGTCCCAAACTGGTCCCAACTGGTCCGTGCCGGCGCAGGGGAGTCGGTGTCGGTGATCAAGCACACGGAGCCGGTGCCCGACCCCCGCGCCGTCAACCAGGACAAGAAGAACATGCTCTTCTCGGTGAGTGACGTCATCGCCGCGCGACGGGGGAGGCGACGTCATCGGGGCGGGACGGGGCGCAGCGGTGACGTCATCGGGGAGGGACGGGGCGAAGCGGCCGAAGTTGGGGCTTGGGAAATTAAACAAAAAAAACAAAACAAAAAGAACCAACCTCGGTTTTTTGGGGGTAAAATCCAAATTTTGGGCGGGGGGGGGGGGGGGTGTGTGTGTAAAAAAATTCGGAAATTTTGGGGTCCAAACTCTCGTTTTGGAGTCCAAAAATCCCAAAATCTTGGGGTCCAAACTCTCGTTTTGGAGTCCAAAAATCCCAAAATTTTGGGGTCTAAAAATCCCAAAATTTTGGAGTCTAAAAATCCCCAAATTTTGGGGTCCAAAATCTCATTTTGGAGTCCAAAAAGCCCCAATTTTGGAGTCAAAAATGTCATTTTTAGGTCCAAAACCAGTCAAGTTCCAAGGTCAAAAATGCCATTTTTGGGTCCAAAACCCCCGCAAATCTTGGGGTCCAAAATCTCATTTTGGAGTCGAAAACCACTCGATTTTCGGGGTCAAAAATGTCATTTCTGAGTCCAAAACCAGTCAAGCTTCGAGCTCAAAAATGTCATTTTTGTGTCCAAAACCAGTTGAGTTCCAAGGTCAAAATTGTCATTTTTGGGTCCAAAACCCCCTCAAATTTTGGGGTCCAAAATCTCATTTCTGAGTCCAAAACCAGTCAAGTTCTGAAGTCAAAAATGTCAATTTTGAGTCCAAAAAACCCAAATTTTGGGTGTAAACCTCTCATTTTTGAGTCCAAAACCAGTCAAGTTTTGAGGTCAAAAATGTCATTTTTGGGTCCAAAACCCCTCAAATCTTGGGGTCCAAAATCCCATTTTTGGGTCCAAAACCAGCCAAGTTTTAACGTTAAAAATCCCA